GAGACGTCATCCGTTGTGAACCTCGTTCTCGATGGGAATCAGGTCGGTGTGTGATAACCGTTCAAATGCACTGTTCCTGGCCAGGCCATTCCTGGGCCCTGGATCGCTGCATGCACCCCTTTACTTGACCCAAGGACGCGTGTCTTCCGATCCTGGGCACAGGATTGGCGTTGCCAGTGCCCGTGTGTGTGGATCGTTGGCGTCTCCCTGTGTCAGGGAACGACTTTCACGCTCGAGCTGGTGGACGCTTCCATCCCAGAGTGCCTCAAGCTGCCTGCTGAGGGGGGCGAGGATCATGCGCGCAAATCCGCCCTACCCCTGACATCTCGCTCCCACTCCACCTCTCCCTCCCCATTCGCCTCCCCATTGCCTCTCCAGCGAGACGTTTGCTCTCTGGGAAAATGGTTAACTCTTGGAACAGTGTTTGTTCTCCGGGTGAATTTCTGTATTCTGAGGGGATTCTGATGATGTTGGCAGAATGGTTGATTCTTTGGGTGCGAGCCTATCATGGATCGTCAACACTCCGTCAAATTTCAGTCTCCCAGACCTGAATGCGATCCCTTCAAGACTCCCAGGATTTCGCACCATTCTAGCCTTGGCGACCTAAAGAACCAACTCTTCGTGATAGTCGTTGTGGATATGACGAATCAGTCTCCGTAGTGGTATTAGCAGTAGTCCGAGTAGTAGTAGTCGTAGTAGTAGTAGTTGTAGTAGTAGTTGTAGTTGGAGTAGTCGTTCTACCAGCAGAAGTCGTAGTAGTAGCCGTAGTAGTGGTAGTAGTAGTAGTAGTAGTCGTAGTAGTAGTAGTAGTAGTAGTAGTAGTAGTAGTAGTAGTAGTAGTAGTATTAGTAGCAGTAGTGGTTGTAGCCGTAGTAGTAGTAGTAGCAGTAGGAGTAGCAGTAGTAGTAGTAGTAGTAGTAGTCGTAGTCGTAGTAGTAGTAGTAGTAACTCTAACGGTAGTAGTCGTAGTAGTAGTAGTAGTAGTAGTAGTAGTAGTAGTATTAGTAATAATAGTAGTAGTAGTAGTAGTAGAAGTGGTGGTAGTAGTAGTAGTAGTAGTGGTCGTAGGAGTAGAAGAACCTGTCGTAGTCGTAGTAGTAGTAGTAGTAGTAGTAGTAGTAGTAGTAGTAGTAGTAGTGGCCGTAGAAGCAGTAGTAGTAGTAGTAGTAGTAGTGGTAGTAGTAGTAGTAGTTGTTGTCGTAGTCGCAGTCGTAGTAGTAGTATTGGTCGTTGTTGTGGTTGTAGTAGTAGTATTACTAGTAGTAGTAGTAGTAGTAGTAGTAGTAGTAGTACTAGTAGTAGTAGTAGTAGTAGTAGTAGTAGTAGTAGTAGTAGTAGTAGTCGTATTAGTAGCAATAGTAGTCGTAGAAATAGAAGTAGCAGTCGTAGTTGTAGTGGTACTAATACTAGTAGTAGCCGTTGTCGTATCAGCAGTAGTAGTTTCATTGGTAGTAGTGGTACAAGTTGTCGTATCATCAGCAGCAGCAGTGGTAATTGTAGTAGTAGTAGTAATAGTAGTAGTAGTAGTAGTAGTAGTCGTCGTAGTAGTAGTAGTAGTAGTAGTAGCCGGAGTGTTCGTAGTAGTAGTAGTAGTAGTAGTAGTAGTTCTAGTAGTAGGCATAGTCGTCGCAATCGTAGTTGTAGTAGTAGTATCGTTCTTGCAGCAGCAGCAGCCATAACATCATTATTACTCGTTGGAGCAGTCGTAGTTCGTAGATGTGGGGCGCGTAGAAACTAGCCATCGTAGGTATAGCAGTATTAGTAATAGTACTCGTATCCGTAATAGCTCTAGTAGTGGTAGTAGTAGCCGTAGTAGTAGTAGTAGTAGTAGTAGTAGTAGTAGTAGTAGTAATAGTAGTAGTAGTAATAGTAGTAGTAGTAGTAACAGTAGTAGTAGTAGTAGTAGTCGGAGCAGTATTAGTCGTAGTAGTAGCAGTAGTAGTAGCAGTAGTAGTAGTACTAGTAGTAGTAGTAGTAGTAGTAGTAGTAGTAGTAGTAGTCGTAGTAGTAGTAGTAGTAGTAGTAGTACTCGTAGTAGTAGTAGTAGTAGTAGTAGTAGTAGTAGTAGTACTAGTAGTAGTAGTAGTAGTAGTAGTAGTAGTAGACGTAGTAGTAGTAGTAGCAGTAGTAGTAGCAGACGTAGTAGTAGTAGCAGTAGTAGTCGTCGTAGTAGTTCTAGTGTTAGTAGTACTAGTAGTAGTAATAGTCGTCGTACTAGTAAAAGCAATATTTGTGTGGTTGGAAGCGGTCGGAGTAGTAATAACGATTGTAGTGCCAGTAATCGTGTTAGTGGTGGTCGTGGCCGTGCAAGGCGTCAACGTAATAGGAGCAGCCGTAGTACCAGGAATAATGGTAGTAGTCGCCGTTGTAGCCGTAACAGTCGTGGCAGGAGGAGAAGCGGGAATGGAAATGAAAGGTAGTCGTAGTATCCGTCGGCGTAGTAATGAATATGGTAGTAGTAGTAGTAGTAGTAGTACAATCCGTCCTAGCCCTATCAGGGGTAGCCGTAGAAGCGATACTCAGATCAGTAGCAACAGTAGTCAAAGTAGGGGTGGTTGTGGTCGTGGTAGTGGTATTCTAAGCAATCGCGGTACTAGTTGTAGTAGTAATAGTAGTAGTGGTAGTAGTCGTCTTCGTAGTCGTAGTAGTAGTAGCAGTAGTAGTCGTAGTAGTAGTAGTAGTCGTAGTAGTAGTAGTAGTAGTAGTAGTAGTAGTAGTAGTAGTAGTAGTAGCCGTAGTAGTAGTAGTAGTAGTAGCAGTAGTAGTAGTAGTAGTAGTAGCAGTAGTAGTAGTAGTAGTTTCTGTAGTGGTGGCAGCAGGTGGTAGTAGTAGTAGTAGTAGTAGCAGTAGTAGTAGTAGTAGCAGTAGTAGTAGTAGTAGTAGTAGTACCAGCAGGAACCACACGCGAACATTCACGCCATACACATACGAACCATAGCGGACGCGTAAACGAAACGATACGATCATGGACATCACCTATGTAAACATGCCTGCGCAACACATGGTCGCAGACACACCGAAACGCTACACTTACCCATCATACACGAGCCATACGCGCAAACATACCGCACGTGCTTACAACGCGTAGTCGCACCGTATACGCCAATTTTACGAAACGTTTACAAACAAACCAAAACGGGCACGCATGCCACATGTGCGAACACACCGTCCACGAACCGCATACGAGGCGTATACGGCAAGGGTACGCACTGCACACGAACGAGGAACGAGACACATGCAAAACGTATGCGCGGACGCAGACGCAGCGCATTCACAGAGTAGTCGTGCTCGCCATCGTCGTCGTGGTAGTCGTTGCAGTAGGAATATGACATGCAATCGCAGAAGTAGTCGTCAACGTAGCAGTAGTAGTTGTAGTAGTTGTTGTAGCAGCCGTAATAGTAGTAGTAACAGTATTCGCCGTAGTATTAGTATTAGTAGTAGTAGTAGTAGTAGTAGTAGTAGTAGTAGTACTAGTAGTAGTCGTAGTCATAGTTGTAGTAGTAGTAGTAGTAGTAGTTGTTGTTGTACTTCTACTGGTTGTAGTCGGATGTGTAGTTGTAGTGGTGGTAGTAGCCGTGGTAGTAGTAGTAGTAGTAGTAGTAGTAGTAGTCGTAGTCGTAGTAGTCGTAGTAGTCGTAGTAGTAGTAGTAGTAGTAGTAGTCGTAGTCGTTGTCGTAGTAGTAGTAGTAGTAGTAGTAGCAGTAGTAGTAGTAGTAGTAGTAGTAGTGGTGGTAGTAGTAGTACTGGTGGTAGTAGTAGTAGTCGTAGTAGTCGTAATAGTAGTAGTAGTAGTAGTAGTAGTAGTAGTAGTAGTAGTAGTAGTCGTAGTCGTAGTAGTAGTAGTAGTAGTAGTAGTAGTGTAGTGGTGGTGGTGGTGGTGGCGGTGGTAGTGGTAGTAGTGGCAGTAGTATTAGTAGTAGTAGTAGTAGTAGTAGTAGTAGTAGTAGTAGTCGTAGTAGTAGTAGTAGTAGTAGTAGTAGTAGTAGTAGTAGTAGTAGTAGTAGTAGTAGTAGTCGTAGTAGTAGTAGTAGTAGTAGCTGAGGTTGTTCGTAGATGTGATAGTACAAGGATTAGTGGTAGTAGTAATAGAAGCAACCGTTGTAGTACGACTACTAGGAATAGCGGTACTCGCAGTACTGGTGGTCGTTGCCGTGCTCGTGGTAAACAGGCAATAGGAGCAGTTGTAGTAGTAGTAGTAGTAGTAGTAGTCGTCGTAGCAGTAGCAGTAGTAGTAGTAGTAGTAGTAGTAGTAGTAGTAGTAGCAGCTGTCGTAGCAGTATCAGTAGTAGCCGTAGTACGCGTAGCAGTACTAGCAGTAGTAGTCGTAGTACTTGCTGTATTAATAGTAGTAGTCGCCGCCGCGATTCTAGTGGTAACAGTGGGGGCCGGAGTAGGGGTAGAAGAAGCAGCCGTAGGAACAGTAGTCGCGGTTGTAGTGCAGGTGGACATACGAGTAATCGTGTAGTAGGAGTGCCACACGGTGCCGTAGAAGGAGCAACCACAGCATCACGCAGTTTAGGTAGTCGTGGTAGCAGTAGTAGTACTAGTATTAGTACTAGTACTAGTCGTAGTAGTAGTAGTAGTAGTAGTAGTAGTAGTAGTAGTAGTAGTAGTAGAGTAGTTGTCGTAGTAGGAGTAGTAGTAGTGGTAGTAGTAGTAGTAGTAGTAGTAGTAATAGTAATAGTAGCAGTGGTAGCAGTGGTAGTTGTCGTAGTAGTAGTAATAGTAGTAGTAGTAGTAGTAGTAGTAGTAGTCGTAGTAGTAGTAGTAGTAGTAGTAGCAGTAGTAGTAGTAGTAGTAGTAGTAGTAGTAGTAGTAGTAGTCGTAGTAGTAGTAGTAGTAGTAGTGGTGGTAGGGGTAGTAGTTGTAGTAGCAATACCAAGGCACATCTACGAACCGCATACGAAGAATACGCGGCACGTGTACAATACATTCGAAACATGTTCGACCCGCAAGCAAAACGAACCGAAACATGTACGACAGTATAGAGCACATATATAAGCATGACTGCGGAATAGGTACGGAACGCCTACGATACGGATGTGGAACCCACAGATTTTTTCAACACGCGCACAACATTTATACGCAACAAGTACACATCATACACGACCCATATACGACACATCGGCCACACAACCATACAACGCGTATACGCAACATATACAACGCGTTTAACGTATATAACACATGAGTGAAACGCCAATAACACGTATACGAAGCGTGTCCCACACGGGTACCCACAGCACAATCTCACGCATGCGAAGCGTATGTGCGGTTGCATACGCACCTTA